CAGCTTATCAGTTTCTGAATATTGACTATTGGCCTGATCCAAGTAGACATAAGCATATTCTTCACCTTGGGTAGTTTTTCATTAATTGCAAGCAGTTGCTGAATTTCCTCTAGATGGCCCGTTCCTGAGGTTTGAAACTTTTCGCTAAGTACACCAAGTTTGTGTTGATGCTTTCCTGTGCGTGATTGTAAAGATGCATTTCATGCTCCAGCCTATCTGTTGCTCCTATACTTAAGTCTTTACATTGGAAACGTAAGGTCATTGTCTTGCACAATTGAAGATTCCTTTCTAACTCTGTAATCTGAGATATAATGAAGCTGTAGACACTTGATTAACAATATCAGTATTCAAAGCTTCATTAGCTTTCCTCAGTTACTGAACCATCCTAACGTACAGTTCCTTCTGGCATTCCAAATTGGGAGGAATGTTAAATCTAACTATGGTTGCAATTGCTGCTGTTGTATCATTACCTCTTTTTTACCTACTTCAGAAAGGACACAAAAAGGCATTCAGGATCATACAATTCCTACATTGTGGAAGGAGGCCATTTGGCCCATCGACTTCACACCGACCCTCCGAAGAGCATCCCACACAGACGCAACGCCCCCCCACCCATCTGCCGTGGCTAATCCATCTAGCCTACATATCCCTGAACATTACGGACAATTTAGCATGGCCAATCCACCTAACCTGCACATCTTTGGACTGTGGGAGGAAACTGGAGCATCCGGCCAAAACCCAAGCAGAACGTGCAAACTCTAAACAGACAGTTGCCCAAGGCTGCAATCGATTCTGGGTCCGTGGTGCTGTAAGGCAGCAGTGCTAAATACTGAGTCACCATGCCACCCCATTAAGCTCAAATTACATTTTTACAGGCCTTGGGCTGGTCTCTCTGTCATGGTGAGTGAACTGAATTGACTTCAGCATCTCCAATAACTACTAATTGAAGTATATTTAAATCTATATATTTCTCCACTTAATAAAAACCTGAAATGCCTCTCTGTGATGTCGCCTGTTGTACCAAAGTGTAGCGAGCATTGGCCCTTTCACTCTAACCTTAATATTTCCAATGCCCCAAAGTTGAATAGAGATCAATATAATGAACTCCTTTTCTTAACCATGGTGAGGTGTGAAAGAATTGATACAGCTACGCCTACATCTAATTTTAAATTAATTTCTTTACCATTTTCCATAATATCTGCAAACCAAAGCCTGTCCAATAGGCCTGTGCCATCAGCGGAGCCAAAACTTTGCAGTCAGACTGCCCTTTTCTACATCAATAGTTAATCCAGTATCTCTTTATCCTCAAATGCTAGGATATCTGCACACTTCTGAACATAGAACATAGAACATAGAACATAGAACATTACAGCGCAGTACAGGCCCTTCGGCCCTCGATGTTGCGCCGACCTGTGAAACCAATCTGAAGCCCATCTAACCTAAACTATTCCATTATCATCCATATGTTTATCCAATGACCATTTAAATGCCCTTAAAGTGGGCAAGTCTACTATTTTTGCAGGCGGGGCATTCCACGCCCTTACTACTCTCTGAGTAAAGAACCTACCTCTGACATCTGTCCTATATCTATCACCCCTCAATTTAAACCTATGTCCCCTCGTGCTAGCCATCACCATCTGAGGAAAAAGGCTCCCACTGTCCACCCTATCTAATCCTCTGATCATCTTGTATGTCTCTATCAAGTCACCTCTTAACCTTCTTCTCTCTAACGAAAACAGCCTCAAAACCCTCAGCCTTTCCTCATAAGACCTTCCCTCCATACCAGGCAACATCCTGGTAAATCTCCTCTGCACCCTTTCCAATGCTTCCACATCCTTCCTATAATGCGGTGACCAGAACTGTATGCAATACTCCAAGTGCGGCCGCACCAGAGTTTTGTACAGCTGCAACATGACCTCATGGCTCCGAAACTCAATCCCTCTACCAATAAAACCTAACATACTGTACGCCTTCTTAACAGGTCTATGTTTAATTCCCTCTCTTGCTGCACAGCGTGCCATGATCTCTCAGGTTGTACACATGACCCTCTCTAAAATTGGCTGGGTTAGGCTTCATGGAGTGGTCAATGCCCTGTTTCTTTGTATGGTTGCCATTGGCAGATTTTATGAATGCTTATTTCATTTCCATCCCTATAAGTATCTTTGATTTTCTACAATGTTTTCCACATTGCAACCGGTCAATTTCTTTTCTATCTCTTGTAAGTTGTATTTCCCACATTCTCTGTTGTGGGCTTTCTTCAGTTCTTTTCAGGTTTTATGTGGCCTTTGACTCTCCACAACTCGGTGCCTATGTAGTCCTTGAAGTCCGTTGCTCACTGATCCAAGCCACAGCTGAGCTTCTCTTCAAGTATTCCCCCAACTTCAGGGTCAGATCACTGGCTTGGGCTTGTGGTTTACCCATAGACCTTGGAACTGTACTGTTGATGGTTTTTACCCTGCACTCTGTGGGCATGGTCACTGCCTACCACCACACAAAAGTGTGCAGTCTACAGTCATCTGAGTGAACCTTAATAAACTTTATTATCATAACTTTTTACAAAGTGTAATAATAGAGGAAATGACTTTGCAGCTTGAAGGTGTGGGTTCCAGTTCCATGTGATCTGAAGGCACTGCAGCATCTGTCCTTTTACACATGTTCTTTAGCTATTCTTGTAATAAAGATATAATTAACTCTTCAATCCACACTTTTGATGTTTAGATTTGTTTGACTCCAAGGTAGGTTCAGATTAAAATGGCAGATGTAATGTCCAGCAACTCCTTGCATGAGTAATAGCTTAATCTTATCCAGCATAACCAGGAATCCAATAAGCCAGTTGATGTGATATTAGTTATATCTAAAGAGAAAGGAAGGAAAACGGTGCAGCCTGCTAGTTGTTTATTTCCTCCCTCCTCCAGCCCTACCCCTTTTTTAATTTTGTGACTAAGTACATTATAAAGTGATCTTTTAATTAGTCCAGTATGGTGTTTTATCTGCAATAAGATTCTGCGTGACTGGCCAAGAGTCACATGGCTCTATAGTGGAAAGGGAAAGTAAACTATATCCTTGATTATTGAGTTGATGTCTTTCAAAGGGAGTTTTCTGACCACGGTCTCTGTGGAATAGTAAACATCTGTTGGGAGAATCAAAGTCTACCACGGCGATAGAATAATTATTACTGATCATCGGGCTATCTAATGTTTCTAATTGCATCTACAATATTTGCTATTGTCATTTTGTGATCAGTAAAATTTTCACACAGTCAAGTTGGACTGTAGAGTCTGTATCTGTATTGTCTGACTGTATGACCCCTGAACTGTTTTGATGGTGTGTGAATTGCTTATGTTTTATTAATTCCTGAGACGTCATATTGTAGTCAAAGCTGACATCTAATGATCATTCCTGTTAACTCATGAGAAATTCTGTGATCAGCATCCTTCTCCAACTTTACAACGGTTTTGTATAATTTTGGTGCTTGCCGAGCTATTTCAGAGGAAAATTAGGAGCCAAACACATTGCCGTGACACAGGTAGACCAGAGCAAAGAAGACAGAATGTTTCTTTGACTTTAGAACATAAGCAAACCCATCAGCTACATCAGGCATTCCAACAATTTCATGACTCCCCAGATTCATGGCATGATGCATTTATTCAGTCAATATATGCTTTGCTAATTGCACGCAATCATTTGAGCCAATCAAATTTAACAGTCTAAAGTAGATGGCTGATAGCATCTTATTCACAATACTTGATTAATGAAAGGAATGAGGTAGCAGTTTTTCTTATATTTTGTTCAAAGTTCAATCTTCATCCAAGCATTGCAGAATTTTTATGAGGCATGTCATGAAAAGTCAGATTAAATATAATTTATTGATGTACTGATAGATTTCTGACCTATGAACTTGGCATTGGAGTTCTCTTTAATTATTTCCATTATTTTGAATCAAGCTGGCGCTCAGATGATTTGCCCCTTTACACAGCTGAAGACATAGGAAAGTGCGAAGTGAATTTGTTTACCTCTTATATGGACAGACGGCAAAGCAGAGGGAAAGAAATTTCCTGATGGAAGACTAGAATCTACTTCATGACATTCCAGAAAACAACACATTGGAGTGGAAGAGTCACAATCATCAAGGTGAATCCATCCTTAGAAAGCCATATAAAATATGAATTTTTCTAATGTTTTTCTTAGGCTTAAATAGTGGGAATGTCTTGTTATGTTTTGCATAATCTTATATCTTATAATATAATGTGTTATGGTACATAATAACACAGCATATATGTTAGCCTGTGTTACTGGATGTGGATGTGTTACTGGATTAGCAATTCTTACTCAAACAATCTTATGTGTGACTCCAGTCCCACGTCAATTTGGTTGGCTCTTAATCACTCTCTGAAATTGTCTAATGGCCTCATTTAAGAATGGACATTAAATATTGCTTTGCCAGCAACACACAATCCCCAAGAATGAATTATTAAAAAATGATCACAAAATAGAATATTGTAACATTCCAAAGTAGGACAATTTTTTCTCTAAAACTATATTGTCTGTCTGTGTATAAGTTCCTTATTGCTATGTTTAGTATTTTTGCACACTCTAAAACACTTTCTTAAACAAATTATCAAGAAAGCTAAATTGTCTGAAGTAGATAATGAACACAAAGTAGGTAACATTCTTCACAGTCTTAAAATAGTTTAAGGTTCCCTAAAATGTTTAACTGCAACTATCAAAGACTTTGCTGAACTCATTCCAAAGAAGGTCACTAAGAAAGTAAATGCATTACTTTTTCTTTTTCCTTACTACCTACTGGTCATGTAATTGTTCTGTCCTTTTGCTGCAGTCCAATACAGACTGTCATTTAAATAAAATCAGCAAATCATTTTCAAACGACAGTATAAGCAACACATTGTCATTGTACCTGATGACTCATTTTCTATTTAAGCAGTAATCACCAGTCTGTTCAGAACTTTATGCTGAGAGGTAATGTGCACAAGTTTGTAACACCTGAGGGGACAGATATAATCCAGCACTACCTGTCAGTCTGAGGTAAGCAAATACCCTGTAACTTTTAAATAAATGATTGAACTTATTTTTGATTTGCTAAATGTTAATAGCTCTTTACTATATTTTATATTGTTAGGTTCAACTTTATCAAAGATTAAGTAATTTTGAAATTTGGTCAATAACTAGCGTCAACCAAAATTCAGTTTAAGAGCTACATTTTACGTCAGTTTTGGGTTTTGATGATAAAACTTGGTTAACTTTTGAGGTATTGTATTTGTGTATCAGAAAATTATTTATTAATAATTAGATACCCATGGCTTGTATTTATTGTATATTCTGTTCATGTTGTCATTAAAATATTTACAGATATTCTATTATAAATGTTGAATTTTTTTCACATTGAGATGTGCCCATAAGTTTAGGTAGGTGGCATAAGTTAGCTCTACTTGTATCATTAATGCACCAATGCGTACTGTAAATTACACCATACAGTGAGTTCATGATATTGGCTATGTTGCTTGATGGGGATGTTGAGACAATAAAATATTCCCATCCAAGCAGAGAAGGCTACAATTAACAGTCACATTGACACAGTTGCTTTCAAACAACCGAAAAAATTGCAGATGCTGTAAGTCAGAGACAAAAATACAAATTGCAGGGGAGGCTCAGCAGATCTGGCAGCATCTGTGGAGAGAAATCAGAGTTAACATTTTGTATCGAGTAACCCTTTCTCAGGAGTTCTGAGGAAGGGTCACTTCACCTGAAGTGTTAACTCTGATTTCTCTCCACAGATGCTGCCAGGTCTGGTGAGCTTTCCCAGCAATTTCCACTTTTGTCTCTGCATTCAAACAACTCCTGACATCCAGGGTAAGAACAGCATTGAAACATTGCTGGGGCAAAGTCACCCATCCAGATTCTTGTTCTCAAAACTCAGCAAGTGACAAGTAAATCTGGTCTGAAAATATTTTTTAAAAATTCTACGAGGATTGGAGTGGGAATGGTTCTGGTCAAAGAATTTTTGAAAAGGAAGGAATCAGAACATCACAATCCAAAGTGATCTTTCACAAAATATTTGCAATTGTACATTCCAGATTATGAAGTCAAATGTTGCCTTCATTTAGTAATTAAGAAGGGTCAAGAAATACCTTTGTTTTGTGGATGTTACTTCTTTAAGGCATTCAAAGGAAAGAAAGATACCTTTTCAGTATTGAAATTTCTTTCCTTCTTAAATGCTTTTGGTAGATTCTGTTCTCAAAGAGATGAAACATTACAGTTATCACAAAATGAAGCATTTATTATACGTCTGTCTCCCAGTATCAGCATTAAACACTCTTGTGTAAAGTTAATGCAGGTAGGTACACTGTAAACCTGTTTCTTCTCCTTTCCAACAATCTGCCTTAACCCCAGTTTCCAGAAGAGTGCCCCCTACTGCAAAACTTTATTTTTCTTTCTTCAGTGTCTTACAGCCTCTCTGTTGAAGATTGCCTTACGTAGAAGTTTACAGGAAGCTTTAATCCTGTGGAATCACATCCAATAGGACCATGTGTAATACATGCCAAATTTATAGAATGTGGGATTCTTATAGAGATCATAAATAAGACACTTACAAATGGATGAGGATATATAGCTTTTTCTGATGAAGGGTCTAGGCCCGAAACGTCAGCCTTTCTGCTCCTATGATGCTGCTTGGCCTGCTGTGTTCATCCAGCTCTGCACCTTGTTGTCTGAGAATATAGAAGGCCCGGTTAGTAAGTTTGTGCATGACAACAAAATTGGTGGCATAGTAGACAGTGAAGAAGGTTTCCTAAGATTACAAAGGGTATTGATCAAATGGGTCAATAGACTGAAAAATGGCAGATGGAGTTCAATCTGGATAAATGTGAGGTACTGCATTTTGGTACGACAAACAAGGGCAGGGCTTTTATAATTAATGGTAGGGCCTCGGGTTTTGTTGTAGAACAGAGGGACTTGGGTTGCAGGTACATAATTCTTTAAAGATTGCGTCACAATTAGACAGGATGGTCTAAAAAAGTGTTTGGCATGCTATTGTTCATTACTCAGTCCTTTGAGTATATGGGGTTGAGACGTTATGTTGAGGTTGTACAAGACATTGGTAAGGCCTATTCTGGAATACTATGTCCAGTTCTGGTCGCTGAGTTATAGAAAGGACATTATCCAGCTGGAGAGGGTTCAGAAGAGATTTACCAGGATGTTGCCGGGTATGGAAGGTTTGAGTTATAAGGAAAGGCTGGATAGGCTGGGACTTTTATCACTGGAGTGTAGGAGGTTGAGAGGTGACCTGAAAGAAGTTGATAAAATAACAAGAGCTATAGATAGAGTTGATGGTAGTTGTCTTTTCTCTAAAATGGGGAATTTCAAGACTAGGGTGAGAGGAGAGGGATTTAGAAAAGACATAAGAGGCAAATTTTTTACACAGTGGGTGGTTTCTGGGCGGAATGAACATCCTGATGAAATAGTGGATGTGGTTACAATTACAATGTTTAGAAGACATTTGGATGGATACATAAATAGGAAAGGTTTGGAGGGATATGGACCAGGAGCAGGCAGTTGGGACTAGTTTAGTTTGGGATTATGTTCGACATGGACTGGTTGGACTGAAGGGTCTGCTTCATTGCTGTATGACTTTATGACTCTATGACTTCCCCCAATAAGTCACCAAAACTATTAGTCAGCTTCTAGGTGGGGATTTTTTGTCCCTTTGTTGAAACACCTGGAACACTCTTGTAGCAATTCAATGTCCATTATTGATTCAAGGTTGCTTAAACTTCCACCCAGAATCCTGGAAATTCCTTACTTACAATGTAACAGTAACAATACTCTTAACCCTTACCTTCTACTCAATCATGTCATCATGAAACTTACCCCACACCTTTCTTCCTTCAGTCCTCCTCCCTTGAAGGTGATAACGTGTGGCAGAGTTCCAGGGATATTGTTAATTCTTTGATAACTCATGCTAGTAGCTATTCTTCACTTGAGGCTAAATAGTGAGTCAGCGTTTTTAGCTGTTTGTCCCATGAGAATACAATCAAGCTTGGTCACCTTCAAGAACCAAACATTCTCACTAAGAATAGCTGTACAGTAATTAGCAGAGGAGAATGACCAACATTTCTCTATGTTCGTCCAGGTTACTGGAATAGATAGGCCTTCAGCCTTTGCCCAGAGTTGCATTTGGCTCCCCATTAGAAATCGACATGTCTGCTATAATTCTTTCCCCAACAACTGGTGTTATCCCACTCTTATTGTATCCCTAACTACTTTACCTGCTTTTAATTCCCTGAATACCCTTTGTCCTTTTCCCTTTGAATTATCTCCTCTAACTCGGTGTCTTCCTTTCGCATTGCTCTGCTATCACTCACCTTATATTTAACACTCAATCCAGTCTCTGCCAATGACACTTAGATAGTGCCCAGAGAACCCAAGTGTTGCCTCCCTTTATTCCTTTCCCCCATCGCCTTCTTATTTAGTCTTGTTTCCCACAATGAATTTTGTCTCTTTTAAAAACTTACCGGGTTGGATGCCACCATAGAAATAATGATATAGCAGACCCAATTGCCTATACTTCCCATTGTTGAACCAAAGCAAGAGATGGATTGGAGTTGGGCTGTGTAACCAGGAAGAGGCCACCAGTTCTCAATACAGACTGGGCAAAAGCCAGCCTTAGTGTCCAGATCCATGGTCAAAACCTAAAAAATGCATTAAAACATAAAGTAGCCCTCCTGCTCAGCCCTACACATTCGCCATTGCCATCCAGGCCACCCTATTCCCCACTACCCACCTTAGTAGTACATCATAGCACCCTGCACCAATCTCTGATTTAAAGCCAATATGCCATCCTATTTCCTTTGTCTACCTCCAATAATGCCTCATAACCCCAGTGCCACACTGTTCATTTGTCCAACCCCATTGCCCTTTATACTCCCTATGCCATACTATGCCCATTTACCCATTCCCCATAACCCCTCTTCTGGGAATGTGCCACCCAATGTCCCAATCATCTCCTAGCCATTTCTAGTCCCAATGCTAACTCATACTTCCCTACTCACCATCCTTTGCCCATTCAACTCCGTGTAATTTTAGTGAATATCCACTGTGGCAAAACCTTAGGAGGCATGCTGACATTGTCTACCTACTATGTCACTACTCAAAAATAAAACACAAATTCATAACCAAAAATGAGTCAAGACATCGAAAACCTTCAGTGAATCCTTTATGAAAACAAACATATCCCTGCTAAACCCTTAAGTGCTTCATCTCTAAAGTTAACAAACATTTCCATTCTATAAGCAGTTGGAGCTCTCCACCAAAATGCTTGTGAATATTATAATTTGGGAAATTAGACATACAATACAAATTCTGCTATGTTTTTAAATGAATCAACACTCTTTTAATTTCTTTTAAAACTCCACATGATGTTTTTTGTCTTTTTTTGACCGTTCCTTGACATCATTACCATTCCCAATGGGTCCGTGCACAATGTATTTGCAGTATGCTGTTTCACATTTGCGATGGGTAACTTAATTTCACGAAAGATGTCCAGGGACTAGATCCAAAAGATTACCTTAATTCTCCAAAAGGAAGAAATAAAAACATAAAACATTGTTCTAGCCCTCATCCCTCGCACCCCACTCATTCCTCCTCACCCCCCACACTCTCCACATGTCCAGCAATGCACCTTCTACCCTTCCTCCATGATCTTCTTTACCCCTAAACCAAATTTATGTTTCTTTCCACCCAACACCCTCTCACCCCTACAATTTCCATGCCAATGCATTACGTAGTCATATGTACCCATGGACTTAAGAGAAAAAAGTATAAATCTATTACATAAAGTTTCATAATGCAGACTACACTCTTTGACTTATAAAATCATTTTGACATTTGTTGACATTCCTGACAAGTCTTGACATACCTTGAGAGGTCAATGTTTGTTGACACACATTGACATTTGTTTACACACTTGGCAGGTCAACATTTGTTGACACTTCTAGATCCTTGACAGTTCTTGACAGGTCTCAACAAGT